CCCCCCTGGGACCCCCGCCCCCCCTGGGGAAGGGATCAAAGGGAAGGGGCTTCCCTTCGAAGCTACAACGGCATGGACAACGATGACGATCCGATTGACGAAAACACAACGATGTCAATCCGAACAACGAAGACGATTCGGACGAGGAAGCCCCTCGCACACGCCGACAGGGTCGGCGGATTTTCACCGAACAAATCGCGTATTTCAGGGTTGGGTTTTTTGCGGAGGTTTCTTGTGGCCGTGCCCCCACCGTAGTGCACGTGCGCATGCGCTTCCACATTGCTGGGTAAGCTGTGCGCCGACCTGCCCCCCTCTCCCTCGCTCCCCCTCTCTCCCCCCCTCCCTCGGCCGCGGGGCCATACTGCTGGGTAAGTCGTGCGCCTCCCTCCCCCCCTCGCCCTCGCTCCCCCCCTCTCCCTCGCTCCCTCGGCCGCGGGGCAACCCGTTCGCCCGGTGCCAGGGCGTCGCGTCGACGCGGCGGCGGCGTCGCCGCAGGCGCTCCAGGGTTGGATGCCGCCAGTGGTCCAGATCCGGCCAAGATGATGTCGGGCGTGTCCCCCTACAGACGGATTTTCGACGAAACATAGGAAATACCCCGCAAAATGCCCCAGAAAGGTCAAACCATATTCAGAAATAGTCCCCAGACTATGTTTGGACTATTGTTTTAGATTATTTTTGGAGTATTTCTATTTTTCGTCGAAAATCCCCCTGTAGGGGGACAGGCCCGACTTAACGCCAAGATGAAATGCTTTGGCGATCGGAGCGCCGCCGATCGGTCAAAGCTGAGCGATCCGCGCGGTGTCAGAAAGCAGCGGCGGGGTCGTCACGGCACGAGCCCGGCGTGAGCCTGTGCACACACATGCCTGCACGTACATTGTGAGCTTGCAGCTCCGCGCACACCTCCTGCACCCGCACAGTCGCCCGAGCGCACATCTTCACGCAGCTCCGCGCACACCTCCTGCACCCGCACAGTCGCCCGAGCGCACATCTTCACGTGCACATCCTTCGCACTCTCGGCTTGACTGCGGTATTCGGCGGTCAGCCAACCGATCCATTTGACCCCCCCCCCTGGTCGCAGTCGTCCCGCTGTGTCTCCATATGCGTCTCCGTATGTGTTCCGTTGTTTGGTCGGTGGTATCCGCCCGCCACCATGTCATGGCGCGCTTGCATGTTCCCGCGAGCCCTGAAAACGCTCTTCGGTTGTGCACACTACACTGAAGTCGGGCGTGTCCCTCTACAGGAGGAACCTTCGAACCTAGTAGAAACAACGCATGGGGACGATTTCTCCATTATTTAAGATTATGTTTGGGTGTGTTTTGATTTTTGTTTTCCTCATCATTTTAATATTATGGTTGGGTTTTTGTTTTGATATTCGTTTTTCCTCCAAAATCTACACGACCTCGTGCTTTTGGGTGTTGGCTCGGAACAGCAAGGCCCCGTTGGAGGTCTCCCTTAGGGCTTCTTGGGAGCTTCTTTGGGATTCCCAGGGCGCCCAGGGCTTCTTGCAGCGTCTGGGGTACGTCTTGGAGCCTCTGCCACGTCACGTTCTCGCAGAGCTGAGCATTCTGGACAGATCTGGGCTGCACTGAGCTGGGCTGTTCTGGATTTGAGCTGGTTTGGCTTGGGCTGAGCTGGACGGCGACGCTGAGTTGGAGTAGTAAGTTAGGCAGATGTGGACTGGCCTTGCCTGAGCTGGGCTGATCTCTATGGAGTGGTATTTCGACGGATCTGGCTGAACTGCACTAAGTTGCGACGGGTCGGACCCGCTTGGATTGAGCCAGATTGAGATGGGCTGCGCTGGATGGAGCTGAGCTGAGATGGGCTGGGTCGAGCTGAGCTTAGTTAAGGTAGCCATGTGTGAGCTGGACCAAGCTTGGTTGGATTGGTTTGGGTGGAGCTTAGTCGAGCTGGACTGAGTTGGGCTACGCTGAGCGGAGCTGGACTCAGCTCGAACCCGTTGTATTAAGCTAGGCTGTGCTTAAATGAGGTGTGCAAAGCTGGGCTGAGCTAGCCTGTACAGGGTTTCGCTGGACTGCACCGAGCTCAGGCACCACTGCGGTGAACTGAGCCGGGCTGGAGGGCGGGGGCTTCGAGGAGCGTTTCGCAATGAGGACGGGGTGTCACTAAGGAAGAGGGGGATGGGAGAGGGGTGCGTCGGCGAGTGCGTATTCGTTGGTGTGTGGTGTGGTGTGCACCCTGACCAGTCCCACGTATCGGATGCGCGCGCAAGCTCTAAGCATAAGTGACGTGTGTCGTTTGCGGGCCAGCTGAGCTCTTTGCCCACCCACGCTCTGCTCCTGGGGCCGCGGTGCCGGGACGGTGTGGCCTGCCGTCCGGCGCGTCCACAGACCGCCGAGTCGGACAGGAGCAAGCCCATAAGACTACCCAGGCCCCCCCGGCCGGGCAGGGACAACGCAGCTGGTCCGCCAAGGGGCGGCACTTTTCGTCTGCACCACCCGTGATGATGAGCGGGCCAGCGCGGCCAAACCCCACAGGAACT